GGGAGGGAGAACTTGGTGTCTGGTGGTGCTGTTGTTGTTGCTTCTGTATCCATTGCCATCGTTGAGGATTTCCAATCGTTTCATGACTGTTGGCCAAATGTTGACTCAAAATGTTCCAACCTGCCGGCCCCTCTTTGGTTTTCCGTTGACAAACTAAATAATTGATCAAGTCCACCATGTGTGTGCCAGGGACAGGTTTCCCTTCCACTGTCAGTGTTCTCTCTGGAGTCCAACTCAAGTTGGGATTGTTTTGAATCCTTGTCATCATGGCTTTACTTTTCATGGTTTTAGGAACACTCATGGCCACTCCGTCTATCAGTTGTTGATAAGGGTTTGAATCCAGATCTAGTGGGGCAGGTATACCTGTGGTGTCCGTAGTTGATGGTGGTGTCACTTTGGGTTGTTGTTCTGCTGTTAACGCGGCAACTCTAGTATTATTTTGTTGCAACAGTTGGTTGTATTCTTGTTCCCGCATGTGAAAAGACTGTCATGTACTCTGCATCAAAGTGTCCATCTCTTCCAAATTTTGGAGATGTTTCTTTTCCAAGAGAGGGGTGTGAAGTGTCTGACGATGACGTTTGGTTGCCTGTAGACTTTGCCATGTTTCTTCAGGAACCAACACCATCTTGTGTGGGTACTTCATGGCGGCACACTACACACTCATCCCAACCTTCCTGCGGTCAGTACATATGTTACTTTCCTCCAAATAAAGATGCAAGGGCAGAACAAATAATAGGAATGAGTCCTCCTAAAAATCCTCCTCCATGTTGAAGAATTTTACGTTTCTTGCTTAGTGGCACTTGTTTTTTGATGAGTGTATTCAAGACTTTGCCATGCCATTACAAGTTTTGACCTTGAGTCATGGTCATGGGAATATTGCCTGCATACATGTTCACCACACATTCACAAATGGCACGGATGAGATCTGTGGGAGTATGTTTGAGAATGGCTTTGTGTATCACTGGAGTGGCAACACACAAATGGCACAGAGCATGTTTCTGTTTCCTGAGGCACTGAGACATTGTTCTTGCATGGAGGTGTCAGACTGTATGAGGCACTTGATCTACAGCATCTCACTTTTATCAGGCAGTGGCAGGAGGGATTTGCAACTGTTGATCTGTCTTGGACTTTCTTTTGGTGCGCACTTGCACCAACCGCATGAGAGCATCAGCACGTTCATGAGGCTTTACTTTTGGTGTTTTTTTCTTCTTTCATTTTGTCTTTAATAATAGTTGTTTTAGGTCGGCGGTGCCTGGTGTTACCCTGTTTGAGTGGTGTTTGAAGATAATTTTGCCATTACAACAGAAGTGTGTAAAGACCCCTGCAAGTGTTCCACTACCACTGCGTTGCATCAGGTAGCCAAGACGTTCATCCATAGGCAGACATGGATTGACAATTTTAGTCAGTGTATCTTTACGTTTCTGCAACCAGACCAACAGTCACAATTACCTGTACTAGCCTGAAGTACCGCGTGCCTCACTCAAGGTCACCGCAGCTATGTCTGTTCGAAGACGAAGACAAGCAGTCAAGGTCAAGCATATGGTCCATGCAACAACCTACTGTCAAGCCGTTGGCCATTTCGCTGCAGATTGCCCAGAGCCCCGCAAGAAGACTCCAGCCGCTCTGTCAATGACGACACAACTGACACAAGTGCTCCATGTCATATAAGACATGCATAACTATGTCTGTGGCCTACAAGATGACATCATACATCTCCATGCGGACGTCATACTACGCCTAGGCAAAAGAAAACATAACAGAAGCCCCCCAAGAAAGCCCCCTTCAAAGTGCTGGCGACGTTATCAGTCGAAGGAGGAGGCGGAAAAAGATATGGACACATCTGAGCAAAGTGACTAGGTCATGGCATGCTGCTAAACTTTGTTTCCCAGTTTCCAACAGTTTGGAACAGTTTCCCAATTTCCAGTTTGTTTCCACCGGCCATTTTCAGGGCCACCCAACTCTCCCGAAAGAAAACTTAAAACATGCTGAGCAAAAAACAAACCCCAAAAGAATTCCACCCTCCCCGCCATCTTGGATGCACATGCCTCTCGGAACCGGATGTGCCGCTATCTTGGATGCGCACGCATTACTCAGCATGCCCTCATGCAGAACCACTTCCGGTTGCTGTGGTTACTAGGCTAACGCCCCATACTACCATACTACCATACAGTTAATGTAAGAAAAGCTATAGTGGCCCAGATGGAATTGGCAATTCTTTCCATAAATTAACGGCTAATGTCATATCGTATCCCCTTTGCAGAGATTGTCAATCAGTCACTTCAAACTCCGATATTTCCGTCGATGTGGAAGATGTGATGGGTGAAATGGGGTTTAACGTCGCGTGCAACATTTATAGCGACGTGCATGTACGTGTGTGTGTTTGTGTGGCTGCTTGTACTAGTCCGGACTGATGCCGATTTATAGTGCTAGCTCACTGAGAGACCATGCCGCAGTTTAACATGAATACCCCACTCAGACACAGCATACTGACTCCGAGCCGACCAGTCCTTGTTTCAGCCCCTTAATGCCGAGCGCTAGATAGGGTAACAACAAGTACCATCTTTTAACGTCTATTGGTATGACGCGGCCGGGGATCGAACCCCGGACCTTCCGCTCTCCGGGCGGACGCGCTACCACTAGACCACAGAGGCGGTGACACACAAAAAGGACAGTGTATAAATTAATGTACTAATCATAGGCATGGTGCCTTTTCAAGTTGTTCATTAAAACTTTTTTTTAAATGTGTTCATAAGTATGTATTCAACTTCTTTAAAGATAACAATGTAATTAATAAAATACCCCGGGAGATTCGACAGGGTACCAGTTGATAACTTTATATAATTATATTTCAAGCGCTTTAGATAATAATTGGGAACCTTGCCAATTTTCACTGGTCAGAGGGGTACACAAAGTACGTGATCTAGACTACCAGTTTTCGTTTTTTGTGGAAGCCTCGGTGGCTGAGTGGTTTAGATGGGTGACTTTGTGTGCTGGCGATTGGGTGCATCACTCTGGCAGTGTGGGTTTGAATGTCGGATGGGACTAAGTACACACAAAGTAGAGATTATGTGCTTTACTAAGAAAGTGGTATCCCAAATATAACATTTGTTACGCTTTAGATAGAGGCAACGAGGTTAGAGCAGTTTTCTGTCACATTGGCAAGGCATTTGATAAAGTATGGCCTAAAGGACTTTTGAACAAGTTGCGCTCATGTGGAGTTAGTGGCAATCTACTGAATTATTTTGAAAGTTATCTTATTAATAGAATTAAAGCAGTATTTTTAAACGGGTACAGTTCGGAATTTATGCCCTCCATAGCAGGCGTCCCTCGGGGATCGGTGTTGGGACCGTTATTATTTCTTGTATACATAAATGATGTTGTTGATGATATAGATTTGTAATGTGCGACTTTTCGCGGGCGATGCTTCACTATACGCATAATTGATGACCCAATTAATTCAGCAATACGTGTTAATAAAGCGACAAAACCCTTTCCATATCCAAACGAAATCTCTGCAGAAAGCATAGTCGATTGTACGATTCCGACGATATCATCAGTATGTGTTTATCAATCACTTTCAAATAATCATGATACCAGGTGTTCGTGAAAAGGTGAGCGTATCCTGCCCCAACGGTGTTACCCGTCACAAACCGGCAAAAAGGCAAGTCCAGTTAACCTGAAAACACGGGAACATATGGTACAAGTCAAAAAGGGAATTGTAATGGACATCATTCTTGTCACAGATGCGTCAAATTTGGAAATGTCCCCCACAAGTCTACCATAACCCTTTTGAAAGCTTTACTGAGGCCTTGAATGTTGTGACCTTGATCACACAACTTCTGAGCAAGAGTCGTATGACGCTCTTTGAAATCTTGGTGGAAAGAGCATGCTCGATTGTATCTCTAAAGTTGTGAAATGTAGAGGCTGGAGCTGCTAGAATATTGCTCGACATGAAGGGAAAGTTGAAGTCATCCCACTTGTCATACAGTCTTGTAGAGACTGTTTTGTCACTTTGAATCTTTATGTATAGATCTTGGTGGTAAACGTCTGAGACCTGCCTCACGTCGGACCTTCCTCCCACCTTAAGCTGACACACGCCGTGATGTAACTGGAATACTGTTAAATTCGGCGTTAAACACAACCGACTGGATACAAGACCAACTCCACCGAATGGAAGTTGAGTTAAGCTGCTTGTGTTGTTTGTTTTACGGATTAATGGATTAGACTGGTCGACTGGTTCTTTTGTTGTAGATAATCCAAGTCTTTGAATTGCATTTAGAAGTGATACACGCAAGGAAGAGAATTTAGGGATGTCAACTATATTATGAGGAACATAAAGATTTGGAGTATATACTTATTCCTTCATCAGTAGATAATCCAGTACAGATTGTCCCGGTGACTACCTTCTCGCGGGAGTGACATGGGATCCACCGAGGAATCTCTATTTGGATCGTCATGTCCCTATCGCAAGAACAAGTCTCTTCAGTTCACTACAGCTATACTGATCGAGCATCGATCCATGCAATTGGGATACGATGACATGCATCAACCAAGTCAGCGAGCCTGACCACCCGATCCCCTAAGTCGCCTCTTACGACAAGGTAAGCCTAATAATTACTGTAACTATTAAAATAACAATCACACGAAATTAAACCGACATATCTTTCTTAGTGTTATGTAAAGTTAATGCAACGGGAAAATCCATACTGTTGTTCAGGCCATACCTCTATTTACACCGGGGAATACACGGGTGGGCTAACTTTCTTTATAAACCGGGTGAATAACTTTGCGACGCAGCGATTGGCTGCGCAACGCTGTCCAGCCGACGATAACAGCCTGTATGTATACGGGTGTATCTGGTTTGTCAACGGGAACGGAAGCCGATATTGACCTCGGGGTCATCTAAAGAGTCACCTAACGGGGGTATAAACACGGTGTCATCCAGTATGGTGAAGTTGTGCCAGGATACATAGACACATGGTAAGTAGGAGACCATATTCATACGAACGGACCAGTCATGATCGCGTGCCGACCACACGATGAACAAGCTGGCACGCACCTGTTGCTTCAGGGAGCAGGCGACAGGTGACTGTCCCACACAACGATGTAGATACAGATATACAACAGTGTACATAGCCTACATGCCGTGATGCATGTAGATCGATAACCACTATTTATCATTCATGTGGCGGGATGTAGCATAGGAAGTGTCAACAGTGTTTGGATACGTAATGCAGGGAAAAGCATTTGTCAGGTAAGTCGCTCTTGGGAGTGGCAGATTACTTGAAAGATAATGTGTTATAATCTGCTTATACCACAGACAGTGGAGTAGTTGTTGTTTGCGGTATTTCTTTTCATTGTGTGCATGTGACCACGAGGCAATCTGCATACTATTGTATGAATATCATTGGAGGGAATTATCAATGAATATATATACAGTAAACTAGGGTTATAACGAACTCAAAGGGACCACTATTTTTAGTTCGCAATAACCGTAGTTCGTTATAACCATATGTACAGCATATATACAACAAATGGTCGGTACTAAAAATAAGTTTGTTTTACCGGTCAGTTTGCATGTTTGTTATAAACGTAGTTTACTTTATGGAAAATTTCTATGTATGAATTGTAGAAGTAAGATGAATTGACTTGGTTTGTTTGTTTGTTGTTTAATGCCTCACTCAGCAATATTCCAGCTATATGATGGTGGTCTGTAAATAATCGAGTCTGGGCCAGATAATCCAGTGATTGACACCATGAGCATCATTCTATGCATTCGGGATGTGCTAACTTGCATCAACCAAGTCAATGAGCCTTACCACCCGAACTCGTATTGACATGAAAATAGCCTAGCTTTGTGAAACCGAGCTTCACATGTTCTGTTTTCTTGTAAATATTTCCTTTATGATACATTATATCAAGGCATAAGTATTTTTGTTTAACTAAATTAATCATTTTTGAAAAAGTTCATTACACAATGTCACATGTAGAGGCATATTTTCTACAAGATCAAGACTCTGTCATGACTTTGATCTCATTTTAAGGGCATGATACATTATGTGATAAATTTCAAATATTAACTCAAATTCTTCAATTTAAACAGTATTTTCCAAGTAAACTACATATGAAAAAATCCTGTTTAATAAAAAAAGTTTTAAAAAAATCTCCTTTGAAATAAAATAGCAGTTTTGTAAAGAGCAGAAATTCTGCATTTTTTAAATCATTGTGATGGGACAATATCTCTGGTGATTAGGAAACTGTCAGTTATTAAATTCAAGACCAGAAAATGCAATGGTATCCACTCCTGGGAACAAGATTGTAATGTGACACACCCCAATGACCAAGCACTCCTTTATGGCTCAGGTCAGCCTCACTGACTTATTTGATTGTCTCCCCCGTGAAGATCCAGGTCAGAATTGGTCTGCAGCAACCCATGCTTGTCGCTGACTTGTTTGATTGTGTGTCCCGTGAAGATCCAGGTCAGAATTGGTCTGCAGCAACCCATTCTTGTCTCCCCCGTGAAGATCCAGTTTGGAATTGGTCTTCAGCAACCCATGCTTGTCTCCCCCATGAAGATCCAGGTCAGAATTGGTCTGCAGCAACCCATGCTTGTCTCCCCCATGAAGATCCAGTTTGGAAATGGTCTTCAGCAACCCATGCTTGTCTCCCCCGTGAAGATCCAGTTTGGAATTGGTCTTCAGCAACCCATGCTTGTCTCCCCCGTGAAGATCCAGTTTGGAAATGGTCTTCAGCAACCCATGCTTGTCTCCCCCATGAAGATCCAGTTTTGAAATGGTCTTCAGCAACCCATTCTTGTCTCCCCCGTGAAGATCCAGTTTGGAAATGGTCTTCAGCAACCCATGCTTGTCTCCCCCGTGAAGATCCAGTTTGGAATTGGTCTTCAGCAACCCATGCTTGTCTCCCCCGTGAAGATCCAGTTTGGAAATGGTCTTCAGCAACCCATGCTTGTCTCCCCCATGAAGATCCAGTTTTGAAATGGTCTTCAGCAACCCATTCTTGTCTCCCCCGTGAAGATCCAGTTTGGAAATGGTCTTCAGCAACCCATGCTTGTCTTCCCTATGAAGATCCAGTTTGGAAATGGTCTTCAGCAACCCATGCTTGTCTCCTCCATGAAGATCCAGTTTGGAAATGGTCTTCAGCAACCCATGCTTGTCTCCTCCATGAAGATCCAGTTTTGAAATGGTCTTCAGCAACCCATTCTTGTCTCCCCCGTGAAGATCCAGTTTTGAAATGGTCTTCAGCAACCCATGCTTGTCTCCCCCGTGAAGATCCAGTTTTGAAATGGTCTTCAGCAACCCATTCTTGTCTCCCCCGTGAAGATCCAGTTTGGAATTGGTCTTCAGCAACCCATGCTTGTCTCCCCCGTGAAGATCCAGTTTGGAAATGGTCTTCAGCAACCCATGCTTGTCTTCCCTATGAAGATCCAGTTTGGAAATGGTCTTCAGCAACCCATACTTGTCTCCCCCGTGAAGATCCAGTTTGGAAATGGTCTTCAGCAACCCATGCTTGTCTCCCCCGTGAAGATCCAGTTTGGAAATGGTCTTCGGCAACCCATGCTTGTCTCCCCCGTGAAGATCCAGTTTGGAAATGGTCTTCAGCAACCCATGCTTGTCTCCCCCATGAAGATCCAGTTTGGAATTGGTCTGCAGCAACCCATGCTTGTCTCCCCCATGAAGATCCAGTTAGGAAATGGTCTTCAGCAACCCATGCCTGTCTCCCCTATGAAGATCCAGGTCAGACTTGGTCTTCAGCAACCCATGCCTGTCTCCCCTATGAAGATCCAGGTCAGAATTGGTCTGCAGCAACCCATGCTTGTCTCCCTCATGAAGATCCAGTTTGGAAATGGTCAAAGCAACCCATGCTTGTCTCCCCCATGAAGATCCAGTTTGGAATTGGTCTTCAGCAACCCATGCCTGTCTCCCCTATGAAGATCCAGGTCAGACTTGGTCTTCAGCAACCCATTCTTGTCTCCCCCGTGAAGATCCAGTTTTGAATTGGTCTTCAGCAACCCATGCTTGTCTCCCCCATGAAGATCCAGTTTGGAATTGGTCTTCAGCAACCCATGCCTGTCTCCCCTATGAAGATCCAGGTCAGACTTGGTCTTCAGCAACCCATGCCTGTCTCCCCTATGAAGATCCAGGTCAGAATTGGTCTGCAGCAACCCATGCTTGTCTCCCCCATGAAGTTCCAGTTTGGAAATGGTCTTCACCAACCCATGCTTGTCTCCCCCATGAAGATCCAGTTTGGAAATGGTCTTCACCAACCCATGCTTGTCTCCCCCATGAAGATCCAGTTTGGAATTGGTCTTCAGCAACCCATTCTTGTCTCCCCCGTGAAGATCCAGTTTGGAAATGGTCTTCAGCAACCCATGCTTGTCTCCCCCGTGAAGATCCAGTTTGGAAATGGTCTTCAGCAACCCATGCTTGTCTCCTCCATGAAGATCCAGTTTCGAAATGGGTCTTCAGCAACCCATGCTTGTCAGAAGAAGCAACTAACAGGACCAGGTGGTCAGACTCACTGACTTGGAGCAATGTTATCATTACCCAATTGTGTAGATTGATGCTCATGATGTCAATCACTGGATTGTCAACATCATGCAAGAAACAATGATTAGGTGACATCATACCTGGATGTTTGGGGGGCATCGAGGGCAAAGGGTCCAGTGATATCCCTCCGTTTAGTGTCAACAGAAATAATATTGACTGTACAATCACTAATATTCATTAAACGACACTTTTTTAATTTTATGTTTCATTGATTTATTCCATCTTTTCCACACAAGGTCGGTCAAGTTAAAAACAATTAGCTATATCAATCATTTATTTATTTATATGAAAGTCATTCTGCCGTTGAATTAAAACTACAGCTGGCTTCTTGAATCACTGATAGTGATGTAGACATGGAATTTATATAGAACATTTATTATAAACCTCCGGCGACGTCATCCTATTGTTCTCCAGTCGGGTTAAATCTCATAAACAGGGACTTTGTAATGTCCCTGGGATTTTATAGGATATTCAGGTCATATTTGCTATATAATGTGTTAAAATATCCAAGGGATTTTATATAATGTCCTGGGTCTTTTATTAATATAACTTCCGTTCAGATTGTAACATGTAATGAAATGTAAAGTCAAATGACAAATGTTTTCTTTATATTCCCGAGGATCGAACTCGCAACTTTCATATCTGTAGCCCAGTGAGTGTACCACAAGGCTACAGAGGTGTTGATAAGCCGCACTGCTTTTTAGAATGTCCTTTTCAAGATCCGTAATCCAGGAACAGATATTTTACGCCCGTTTCCTAAGGTTCATGGAAAGTATCCTCGAAACATAAAAATGTTGATAAATGTTGTTTTAAGTTTCTTTTTTCGGTTCGTAAGTTAGATAAAACACTTCCACTCCGGTTTTTATGATATCTAAAACTGTTATCCTTGGGAGGCGTGTTTTAAATGTGATAAGAACGCTTGGACGTGCTTTATTGTACTCTTATAATGGGTTGAAATTTAGTTTGGGGATAAGTTTAAGGTTCAAAATTGGTTTATAAGTAAGATAAAACACTTCCCCTCGGGTTGTTATGATTTTTAAAACCCTTTCCCTCGGGATGCAGGTTTTAAATATCATAACAACCCTCGGACATGTTTTATCCTATACATAATGTATCAGAGGGTCTATATAACTAGTGGGAGACAATAAAAATAAACCTTTTTATGTTTTATTTATTTCTTTTCCAGCAGCTTTTCAGTAGGGGCAGCCGCCCGTGAAACAAAAAAAATGAATGTGTCGCCTTATTCGCAACAAGTACCCTTTTTTACATAATGCCATCTGTTTGGAACATAGTCCATTTATCATTTTTTCTGACAACTCTGTTGGGAATTCCTGGTGCATAGTTTCAGATCTATATGCATGTGGCAGGGTAATATATGTCATAGTTTGTGATTTGTTTTCCCACATGAAATACAACTGAGTTTTTAGAAATATTAACTGATGGTAACACATGATCATACAATCCGAAATGATAAATTATTGTCTGATTTGCGTTGTAACTGAGACCCAGTTTTCCCCGCCCTATTAATCAGAAGCCTGGTTGCATGGAAATGGCAAAAAGACCAGTACTTCAATTGCTGTCACAGTTTGTGTATTCGGCCGTGAGTTCAACAAATTCAGAGTTTCTTTATTTCGACTCTTCATTTCCAGAAGTTGATGTCTTTATTATTTAGGGGATCGTTCAGTGG